TTATTAATGTTAGCTCAGAGATTCACAAATTGCATCGAAATGATCTNCNTTCATTCATANNTTTCCAATGCCTTTTATAGAATACAAGTGCTGAAACAAATAACTGAANCAAACTAAAAAACAGGAACACAACTCAACTAAGAGCACGACTCAACTAAGCTAATAAAACGGAACAGAATTGACTAAGTAAACTAAAGAGAACAAGTCTCTTTATTCCTAGATTTACGGAAGATAAAGACACGAAACAAACCCAACACCCAATAAGTTTAAAAATTTTCTTGACCTTTCATATCCTGTCGAGAAAAGAAAATGGATTAATTCTCCCCTAAGCGTTTACATTGATCGGCTCATGACCATTTTGTTGTACGGGCCAGCATATTTACATACAAACTCAATATCACATGCATATATATATATATTCTTTTCACTAAAGAGTATCAAAACATTGAGAATGCAGAAAAACGATAAAATTACAATGGTTCACTGGAAGAGTTATATAACCAAACCGGCTTGTATGTGCCCCTGAATTTGTCTTTACCGAATCCAAGATAAGAAAAAGGAGCCAAAATTTCTTTTAGCAGCCATGCCAACAAGGAACTGTTGAATGGTGGAAAGAGGAAATTTTTTATGCCATCCAGTGGCGGGATTTGCCACGGTATTGGGCGGTGCGTATACATTGTAGATCACAAGACCGTCATAACTACCACGGCAGATTGTGGAGCTTGAAGTAGGGAGCCTAGCCGTAGAAACTATTGATGACCCAAACACAAATGTTTGAGTATCACCATCAACAGCAAAATGATAAGTAACCCGCACAAAAAGGACATCTGGACCTCGAGATAGCCTACGACGGATGAACTGTCTTTGTTTGAAACTTGGGGACTCGATTGTGGATTTCCATTTGTTGGGTACAGACTTGAATCTCAGCATAGACTTCACAGGAAGTCTCTCGAGGATGAGCTCTACCACAATGTCGAGCGATGTCTTCTCAACATTGTAGCGAGACCATCTGAGTGAGGCTTCTTCTTACATATATATACACACACACACACGAGCATCTGAGTCCAACTAGAATATGGATCGATAAAGGAAAACTTCAAATACCAACAAGGAGAGGGAAATCACAAGAATCTCCATTCTTTATCCAACAAATTTATTCCTAGTTCATATTCATCAAATCATATCACAATAACAATGATAGTGAGTAGCTCAGGAAGTGATCGCTCAAATATTGAGCCAGACCGAAGTTACTTACCCACACATCGTTCGTATATGACTTGTCCGTTTCTTCCTCTTTTGGGCTTTGGTTTTTTATTGGGAGTTAAAATAGCATTTTTCAAACCATTAATATGAAATAAAATGA